CCACGTATGTAAATCTGCTCTGTCCAGGTATATATATTATAATTATAATTATAATGTAATTACTTGCCCCAATATCACAATATGTCTTCTTTAAAAATTGCCATGTTTCTCCAACAGAGGTACGCATTGATGCAAATTGATCTCATACATGTTTATTACACAACTATTTCAAAATTAAACATGAAGTTCAAACGATGATGCTTCCGGGAATGCCGAAAATCTAACCTGTATTCTTTTTTTCTTTTTATAAAGAGATTTGTCGAGGAGACGAGTAAGTACATATTCTTCATTAGCAATACACTGGTAGTGCCATATCAGTTTAGAAATCAATAACTATGATATCAATAGTTTACAATCAATAGTTTACAACATAAGTCGATTTAAATGCATCTCGAATGATACAAATGTCTGCACGGTGTTGGAAAGTACAAAGTTTCAATGCTTAAATTTAAGCTGTTGTGGTATATCTTTTGATTTTAATATTAACACATTGTATCAATACAATTGTATTGGTTAAATAAAAGCAAAAGTATTATCAAATATTCAGCATCTACACCGAATATGTACTTTTCTTTAGTTGTCAATGTATATTGCTTTATTTGTTAGTTATTAACTATTAACCGTGTTTGATATGCAGGTCCCTCAAACGTATATAGAGTTGTGGAAGGCCCTTTAACTTGGAATGATGCTAAAGCCAAATGTGAAGCTATGGATTGTAAACTAGCACAACCCAAATCTGTGCAAGCAAACGATGCTTTAAAGGCACTACTTGTCAAAGGTATATTTACAAACATAAATATGACGTTATTGCAGCAAGGATGTCTAACCAATGTCTCTTACGGTTTTTAATGGTAAAACAACAGAGCTTAATTGCAAGTTTCGTAGCTTGTACTTGCCCACTGATTGTTTTTATTTGCCCCGTTTTTTTTTTATTTCATTAGGTTATTATTGGCTTGGGATAACCGATCTGAACCACGAAGGGCGATTCACTTACTACACAGACGATCAAGACATTGTATACGATAATTGGAATGCAGGAGTACCAAACAATGGAAATGGAACCGAGCACTGTGCTAATGTAATACTGCACTCGTAAGTGAAGTAAAGTCACTTAAAACATAGAGCGGTCAAAAGGAATGCTGATATATTATAATTTGTAGTAACTGTTTCCATTGTTTCTGCATTTCACTCAATAATATCAATAACCAATCTCGTTGAAAAACATTTTGTGTCATATGCAGTTATATTTCAGTCAATTAATTTATATTTGACAGGACTTTCAATTATTCAACATGGTTCACCAGTAACTGTAGCGAAGTAAACGAAGGTGGAATCTGCGAGTGTAAGTATAGTAATTGATCTTTCATATCAATAATATCAGTTACACTATCATTCGAATGTATAAGTGGCATCTCACTCCTCTGCCAAATAGACAATTTTGGTAACATACATTCGAATTTATTTATATGTCATATTTATTTATCAATCAATGTTTCAATCTGTATTCTGTTTTTATAAAAAAAAATGACATACGGCACTAGAAAATAAAAGAATGATAAAACATTTTGAAAATAAGGAGCCATTTTTTAGTTTTTCAACTTGTATATCACTCGTGTCATGTACATATGCAGAACAATAGTACATAACATGTGCGGTAATGTTTTATTAGGTCGTACTAGTGGTGCAAGTGGTGATCCTCATATGAGGACATTCGATGGGCGTGCATATACATTCCAAGGCATATGTTGGTACACTCTGTTCAAGGACTGCACCGACAAGTCTCGTTTTGATGTTACAATCATGTTTGAACCAAGAGAAGATAGTACACCAGACCAAGTCAGAACACGAACGATCGCATTCAACGTAACTGTTGGAAATCAATACGCAATCGTTAATGGACTTGATGTAACTACTGTAAGTTGTCAATATGTAGCATTGTGGTATTTAAAATAAAATTCTCCTTTTTTTATGAATTTAGCTATCATAACAAAATACTGAATAAGTATTTATTCCACAGGGAAGTACGGGTGGAAAGATGACTGACGCAAAAGTTATAACAATCCAGCAAGAAGATAAGAATATTAAACTGCACTTCACTTCAAAAAACACGACATTCTCTTTTAATTGGACTCTGAGATTGCATGCATTGGATGTATCCTACAATGGCTCGTTTTACAAAGGAAAATTATGCGGTCTGATGGGTAATGCAGATGGTGATACTCGCAATGACTTTCAGAATCCAGATCGTAGCATTGCCAAAGACGTTCTCGAATTTGGTGAAAGCTGGAAAGTGAATGACAAAAAGTAAGTGCTTTGTATATTTCTGTATATTAAATAAAATGAATGCTCCACTAACATTTATTACACATTATTTTGAGATATTACAAAGATAATTTTTATTTCAGTATTCTGACAATTCATAAAGCTAATCCATTTTCTTTATTCTCATGCTATAGGTGTTTCTAGGAATTCTACAACTGACAAAAGGACAATGGTTTTTAGAAATCTATATTTTTCTGGTGATGGCTATATATGAAATACACAACAATTCTGATATTGCGATTTGAAATTTTACAGCATGAGTATAACCAATGACACTATCAACTCTTCGGGAAATTAGTGGATATGTAAAAAATGTAACAAGGTTAGTTAATAAAAAGATGTGGTAAAGCAGACGTTTCAGTTTTAATATGTTGCAAATACGATGGTTTATATTTAGTGTCAACAATTGCCATTAGAATTTCAGCAACTGCAAGTTGATGGTTTCCCCATAATGCTTAGTACGTAACAGTCATATCATAATAATCAACTGATTATTCGAAAAGCACGCCAAATAATCGCTTTGTACCCAAATAAAAAGAACATGAAATGAAATCAACAACTTCGTGTATCTTCCGAGTGAGCTCAACATTCCAACAACACACCGCTAGTCTGATTATCAGACAATATGTACTGCATTATCGTCGATATGTGTTAACAGAGGTCACTTACAATTTGTCATTGTGAAAGTTATGTTATGTTATGTTTAACCCGACAGCCACCATATACCGTGTATACAGTTCCCTTAAAAACAATTGAGTGATTATTAGTACGTGTAAAATATTGGGTGCACTTACACCAATTAATTATCCATTGTGTTGCTTAATGATTAGTTTGGTAACAAATGCAATCTTTAATGACAAACCATTAAATTAAAAAGTATCGGTGCCATTGAAACACGATTATAAGACGCATGAGCAACATTGAACGATGCGTTACAATTTATAACAATATTTTTGTTAAATAATGAGCTGATGAGAATTTGTGGCACGTATACATATGTGAGGTATCTGTGTCTCGTCTCTGGGCGCGTGATTCAATTTGAATTCAACGATATGTGTTTTCGGAACTTGAAATTAATAAGATAGAAGACCTGTGTACCGAATGTGATGGTATAGTTTGAATATATTTGTCTGTTCAATTGATTGTGTACAATACAATACACACAATGGTGTCAGGTATTAATTTTGTATTTTTTGTTTTATTATATACTATTTACCTTAGAACAAAAACCATTCAATTGATTGGTAAACCTAATTAATTGACTTCACCTGTTTACTTTGATCAAAAAGAAAAACATTGTCCAAATTTCTACAAAGTCGTTCCACGTTTTCTTGTTTTTAGCAGTAATATTTGCAAAAACCAGACATCATCATAAACGAACTGAAATATGATCCCATTGCTATCAAAATAACGCATGTAATCGAGAATTATCGCGCATTACACATCCCACTGATTTAATCAAAAAATCTATTTGTAATGTTTGTAGTACGAATAAATCCTATCTGTAGAAACCCTATTTAACTCTAACCGTTGGAAAACTCTAACCGTTGGAAAAAAAAGCTTCCTAAATAAAAGGAAAGCTAATATTTGAAGCAAAACAACAAAAGGTAGTCACTGAACTGAGCAATTTCACACTAAAGCAAGGGGAGTGGGACATGTTGGTGAACTAGTCTTACGTGGCTATGACAGAACCCCACACCCTCCCCGTGGCTTTCTTTGCGTTTGGAAGTTATTTTCACGAGTGATGCGGTGTATCCAGCAGCCGTACTTTCACGAGCGAAGAGTATGAAACGTTCCGAGATGCATTTTTGGGGTACAAAATTTCGTCGCCATGACGGACTTCAGCAGACACAGACTTACGATTGTGCTACTGAAATGATGAAATTTTCTACACCAACTTAGTAGTTAACTTATAATTATAACGATGTAAACTATAAATACTAATTTAACAATGCGTTGTACTAAAATATAATTCCCGATTTTTCAGGTATTTTCCCGAACTATTATGACGAACGCAGACAAAATGGCTGACGTCGCTAACCTCAACAAAAATGCGTTATTTTATTATTGAAATTAGTTATGATAATCCCAGTTCCACATTAAAATACCCGAACAATAACGTAGTAACAAATGCTAATGTAACCCGGGCTTACTTTAGGCATGCTAGACCCATAATACATTGCATTGGTGCCTATTGTTTGACTTAAATCGTATAAATATGCACCATGCAGTTACGTGATATAGCGCCCTCTTATGGTACACTTGTGCTACCTAGCATGGTTTTCGGCAGTTAGTATTTTTTGTGATTTATTATTTATTGTATGCATTTCGACTTTGTAATTCAATAGTTTTGTAATTTTTTGCGTACTATCTATTATACGTGACGAGTTATGAAATTGTTATTCTGGAACATTCTGGAAGCGTTGCACTGGAGGAGAGAAACAATGAACGGCTCTCTCTCTCTCTTCTTGGGGTTCGATCTGGCAACGTCGTACTGTGCCGTCGGGGAAGATTGTGTGGCCGCTGAGTGGAGATCGGAAGCGGATCGGGGATTCCGGGACAGAAGAGGTGCCTTAGAAGAACACTGTTGTTGCGGTGCACCGATGGACTTCTAGTTCAACCCGTGTGAAGTTGTTGTAACTGGTAGGTGAACTGTAACCGTAACTGTTCGAAAAGGGGCCCGAAACTTCTTTGATTGCAGTCGAATGTTGAACAATTATCACGTGAACTGTTATTGCATCGAAACCTTGTGAATTACATCATTATAGTTTTTTGTTGGTAGTGAGAGCACTTTTTCCTGTGTAGTTTTTTGTGCGTGGCCGCCAAGATTGCGTCATCCCCCCCCCCCCCGTTGCATGTCTGTGAATTTTCCTAATTTTTCCCGTGAGTTTCCAGGGCCGTTTTGACCGCCGCTTGTTGTTATCACTTTAGGGAATTTTCCACTGCATGCGTATATCGTGTTAGACCTTTGTAATGTGTTGTTTCGGCTGTTTTTTGGCGAGATTCGTCTTGGTCACTCTTTTGAGAAACCACGGCGAGTCTTCTATTTTTGGCGGCGTGTTTGGGGCAGCGACGCACTCTCTTGGTAGATTGTATAATCTTTTACCGATTGTGTTGTGACACTGTGCATTTTGATCATTGTATTTACCCCGCCTTGTTTGTGTACGTGGTTGGGTGCATGCATGTGCGTTTGTGCTGAGTTGGCGAGTTAGTGTTTACTGTGTGGACGTTGTTAACTTTTTTATCCACACGCCCTGCTTCTTGTGTAGCGTGGGGCTGGTGTGGCGGCATTTATTGCTTTGTTCAGGCATTTTATTTGTACAGCAGTTAGGTGTTTCATTGTATTCGGCGTGAGTTTTAGGCACTGCCAGGTTAATTTAGTTAATTTATAGGCAAGTTCCTGGCGGATAAATTTTATGTGGTTTTATTTTTCCAGTGACAAGGTGCCACTGGGTTAATTTGGTCAGTCTGTTGGATTGGCTCAGTTTGTTCATTGAGCTGGTTTATTCGGCCAGATCCTGTCGGATTACTATTGTATACCTTTTTTGACTCCCATGTGCGAAGCACATAATGGAAGTCTTTGCAGTTAGTGTGTCTGTATGTGTGGGTGGGTGGGTGGGTGTGTATGTGTGTATGTGTGTCCGACTGTTCCACTGTTATCTCAATAACCATACATTGGTTTTGAATAAAACTTGGTGCATAGATGCTCTGGGCCAATGCGCAGATTTGATTAGGTTTTGGTAAAAATCCATGCTTGTTAATTACCTAATTTGCATGATAATTAGATATTTTTTAGTGGTTCCATGACTGTTCCACTGATATCTAAACAACCACTCATTGGATTTTGATGAAACTTGGTACACAGATGCTCTGAACTAATGCTAG